GGGGGGCGGGGGGATTTTCCAAATACCCCCATAAGTTCAGATATATGTCAAAATATCCCTAAAAGATATGGGCACAGTGGCATGGCCTTTTGGGCTGACATATTTGTGTTATGCCCCTGTTAGGCGGGTGTGCAAATTCGCTTGGCGTTTTGCAATTTGCAAAGTTGGGCAGAGTCCGGTAGGGGTGCCTTGCAAAGATGGGGTCCAACTGATGGCTGCTGGGGTCCACTTGTTGTCGTCTACTGTTACCTTGCATGCAGAACATGTTGATCCAACTTATATTTTGGTTAGGCTGGTGATAGATACGTTTTCCCACGCGGGTATGGTTAGAAAATCCAGGGTGGGCCCATAAGGACCTGTTTTGTTAAAAAAAATATATATATATAAAATATTCCAGGGTGGTCTGGGAGTTGAGGGTCACCTGGTGGATTGTCTGTGCAATTTTCCCTATTGTCATTTCCAATGAATGCAGTGGCACCTTTGCATGTATATTGCACATGAGGAGCAGGCAGTCCCAGGTGGAGTGAGTGACATTTACAGTTGGCAAGGTCTCAGATGATGAAAATAATGCCAAGCCAAGATGAATGGATTCTCTTAAGCTTACGTTCCTGCAGGAGTTGGAAAGGTCATATTAACTGACTGATTTTCTTTTATCTGCTTTCTCTCCTCTGTTGAAACGTGCGCAGGCGCAGACCAATCACGGGAAGATCCGATGGACACGGATGTGGGATGTATAAGTACAATAACAGATGTTTCTTCTGCAGATGTGACAATTCTTGAGGGTCATACTTCTGAGGTTGGTGCTTGTCTGTTATGGATTCAAATTTCTGATTCTATTTAAAATTATTATGAGGATGACCAGTCCAAAGGCTGTTGTTCTGCTGAACCAGAATAATCGCGGTGCAAGATCCTGGTTCTTGGCAGTGGAACCGACCATCATGGGACTCTCGTTGTCGATTGTGTTTGTTAATTTGTTCCTTCTTTGGGGTTGGCTGAAGGCCAGGGGTTCTGTCTGTAGGACGTGCATTGAATTGGCTATCCCTCCACCTTGGATGTGCGAACTGCTATAGCCGCTGACCCAAACATGTAGATGGAAAGGGGAGGAAGAACAATAGCTGCACATGAAACCAAATCACCTTGGATTTGGAACTGCTATAAGCCGCGGACCCAAACATGTAGATGGAAAGGGGAGGAAGAACAACAGCGGCACATGAAACCAAATGCTTCTGTTGATGGTCAACTCTCTCAGTAGGCTGCTCATCGATTGCTGGACGACATCAGTGTGAGCTGGTAGAGAGGCTGTCCTGAATGATGTTCTGTGCTCGTTTACTGCTTCCACCTCGATCTGGTGGTCTTTGCTCTTTGAAAATGCTCTGCAACTCTCTGCACACTGTCCAGCAGGTCATCAATCTGCGGCAGTGGCTCCATGTTCTTGATTGTGACCTAGTGCAAGCTATGGTAGTCAATCCACATCCAGACATCTCCCTCTTTGGGATAGACAAGAGTAGATCGCTGTGGGCCAGCAGCCTAGCTCAGTTGGTAGAGCACATGCATGTCGTTCAGGAGGTCGTGTGTTCGATTCCCCAGGTCATCCTTTCGACTCCCCACGGCCCCCTCAGCCCCCCTGCGGCACACTTTTGGTTCACCAGCTGAGATAGGTCACTTCCCTCCCCTGGTTGGTCTTGGTGGGGGATGCCCTCCTTCCCATCCAGCGCTAGGGGTTAGGTTCAACCCTGAGGGGGTAGACTTAACCTTGAGGCCCCTCAAAATCCGAGGCCAGGGGCGGATGACAAGATCTGTGTGATAGGTAGGCCGGGATGCACAAGTGGTTAACAGGGACCCACACTTTTCAGCCCCAGGTTAACGGGATGACTGTTTTGGCCAGCCCTGAAAATCCTGAAAAGAGCGAATTTTGCATGAAAACACACTTTTCCCTTTGGGTTTTAGGCCCCTTTGATCCATTTTTTCCCTCTTCTTCTTCTTCTTCTTCTTTTTTTTTTTTTTTTTTTTTTTGCTGTTGGTTTATTTCGTGTCCACTCTATGGACTGGTGACAAGTCTTGCTTAAAAGGTGTGGAACAGTGGAACGTTTGTTATAATGACACTGAAAAAACCCTCCTGAAAATTTAGGGCTCTGTTAACCTCTTCTCTCCATGAAGACCTTCTTGGTGATTCCATGATTACTGTCTCATGGTGGTGTATAATCTCTTCACTAGCTAGAGGAATCACAGTTTTTTCTGCGTCCACTCTGGTATTCCTATTGCTTTCTCTCCTTTTGCCGCTGCTGCTTACCCTGCGAGCCGTTCTGCACCAGCTGCTGCGACGCTGAAGCAGTGGCCTGAATTTGTCTCTCTCTGGCACAGGTTGCTCACCTTCTCTACTGAGTGGTTGCAATACGGATCTGACCTGACAGGTTGTCTTCACCCAGGTCGACAATGGAGCACATCTTCCCCTTCTTCTTTTACTGTGCCTGTGGGGAAGGCCCGCTTGTCTTACCTCCTGTCTGCCTGGTTGTCGACACCCCAGCTTTCTTCAGTGCCTGTTCTACATGTAGGGCCTCGTCTGCCATGGCCTTGAAAGGCTGAAGGTCTTTGCATGTGGGGCCTTCTAGGGTTGCTAAGCTTTGGGGGAAAAAGCGCCCTCAGAAAGTGATGCATAATGGGCTTTTGCCCCTAATCTGGGGTCTGCAGCTGGCAATCAAAGTCTTGCACAAGATCGCTCACTGTTTCTCTGAACGACTGCCCGCCATATACCCAATCGTCCCTGCGACCAACAGGTAGCGTTCAAGCAGCTTGCTGCCAAAGTCTTCACAGGAGACGTACTGCACACAATCCTCCAACTTGCCAACTGATGAGATCCCTGCCTTGGCCCAAGCCTTGGCTGTGTGTTCCATTTTACTGATCACAAACTGGAGCTTCGGAATGTCGTCTGCTAGCGTGTAGTAAGAGATCTGGTGTTTCACCTGCCGGAGCCAGACATCAGCATTGTTGTCACGCGGTTTCTTGGCAGCCGCCAACAGTCTAATCTTTGGCCTTTGATGGTTGGCCTGTTGATTGGGGACGAGGGCACTGCCGAAGTCTGCTGTGGCTGAGGGAGGGAGCCCTGCAACACCTTTGTCATGTTTGCCAGCACTGATATCTGCTGTATCAGTTGCTTGGACAGGGAGTCAACTGATTTCTCAGTTTGCCCATGTCTGATGCGTGGAGGACAGTGAACGTGGACAGCCTGACCCCAAGGTTGGCGTTATTGTCCTCTGCATTTTCTTGGACAGCGTCCTGGGCCACCCGGATCCGGGCATCCAGGTCAGCTAGCTTCACAGCCAGAGCATCCTTTTGCTTCTGGAGCTCAGTGACTGAAGGCTGCCCCAGTGTTTCCATCTCGAATTCTGAGCGCTCTGTCCTGCTCTTCCTCTTCTTGGGAGGCACTGAAGCTAGCCGCCAATGCACAACTGGTAGCTTCGGGGCTTCACAATTCATCCCTTCAAAAAACAATACAGAACAAGGTATGAGACAAGGTAATCAATCGACAGGCGGCATGATGGTGTGCTGACATGGCTTGCTCTTGCATCGTATCGATCCCTTTGAAAAACCACACAGAACGGTATATGACATGGGGTAATTAATTGACAGGTGGTGAGATGGTGTGCTGACATGGCACTTGGTGATGTGGCTAGCTGCACTGTTGCCGATGTGAGGGCTAATTCAGCCAGAACGTGGCCGAAGTCAAGATCATGAGTTCTGATACCACTGTTAGGAATCTGAGGAAATTTTCCTTCCATCATCACACTTTCACAGTTGATCAAGATTGAGCACGCTCGATTATAACCTCTCCCAGAACTGTACTGGAACACTACTACCATCCGAATCGGTGATGAAACGAGGACAAACAAATAGAGAACTGAGGGTTTTTCTGTCCTGAGCAGCACACAACAAAGAGTTTGAAAAACCATCCGGCAATCCACAAAATCTTACCGGCTATGGCTGCCCCCAACTTCCTTCCTTCCAGCGCTAAATTTCGTGCATTTCTGGGTGCACCAAGGAGCAAAACTCGATGAAAGAGTTCTGAATGAAAATTGTTAACCTACTCGGCAATTCGGACGAGCTATACCTGCCCTAGGCATACAGGGTCTGTCCTAGCAAAAATGTAGAGCATACAGGGATCCTACAATCAGGTTCCAGGTGCAAAACTCTGCAAGACCAAAGCAGCGAACAACTCGAAATGCAGCTAGTCCTTTGGCAGGTTGTGGGCTTGGATCCCGCGGACCCAACATTGTTATAGGTCATTGGGTTTAGTGTGGGTATAGGTCATCAGATTCAGTGTGGGTTTAGGTCGCTTTTGCAGATCGGGATAGGTCATTGGATTGAGTGTGACCTTCATGCTGACCAATGGGGGTTTGTATAGGTCTTTTTCACTTGCTGACCCTGGCCTTCCCTTCCCTGTTGCAGGTGTTCATCTGTGCCTGGAGTCCGACTAGCTCGCTACTTGCATCGGGGTGAGTATGAGCAAGGGCTCTTCGTGGTTCTTGGGTGTGTCATGCAACCCCACTTTTGGTGGTTGGGGAAATGAAAGCATTTCGACAAATCTTGGTATCTCTGATCCGTGGGTTGATAGTGCCTCTACTTCGCATCCTCAGAGGGCATTTATCACGACTGCAAGGCAAATGAGATATAACGAAATGACAGAATTCCAGAACGCAATTTCACATTGAAAGCCAGAAAGTCCAACACTGTCCAGAAAGCAGAAACGCACTGATATTCCACCTGCGGAGAACCAAAGCACCGAATCCGAATGTCAATTAGAGCATAATCTCGCCACCACCTCGCCACCACCTCGCCACCACCTCGCCACCACCAACATATGTATCCAGAGCCCTTCTCCTACTTGGCGCTCAGCGCCCAGACTACTTGTACACATCTACTAGCAGCCTACGAATTGACAATGCATCCTGTTGATGTCGGCAGCAACAACTGCAGTGCATGAAGATGTCGACCTTGTAGACCATCGCCAAGACCAGGTACGTGCCCTAACATCATCAACCTCATCTCTCTCTCTCTCTCTCTCTCTCTCTCTCTCTCTCTCTCTCTCTCNCTCTCTCTCTCTCACACACACACACACACACACACACACACACACACACACACACACTCGTCTTCATCACGCGCGTCTTCCTTCCCATACACGAAGACCACCACCACCTGCTGACTGTGTCCAAGCCCCAGCCTGGCTACGAAGGCTGGGCTATGAGGGCACCGCCCTGTATCCTCTCGACGCCCGCGCGCGCCTGCACCCCGCGCTAGTGCAGCAAGCAGTCCGCGAGTCTAAGCTCCAGCAGCACTGCTGTCCGCAAGTGCCCGAATGCTCCCCCTTGTGCCCCGCCCTTTCCTATATGGAAAGAGGCGGGCGCTTGCCTTTGAGACGCCCACGTGAGACTGAGTTTCCAGTAGCTTCAGTCTCGGCCAAAGTGTCTGCGCCCAGGCCCGATTCAGACAGTGGCCCGGGACCGAATTGGTTAGGCATGCCCAACCACCCAGGCACAAACGTGCAATGCTCCCTGCTTCGACCACGTTGCTGGAAGAGCCTGGAAGGCTCACGGCTATTTTGGATTCTCACGAGCAAGGCGGATTGTAACCAACCGATGCGTGGCAACTGTCTGGCACCAATCAAGATTTGCAAAAATTGACGAGTTCAGGGCGCATTGAGAGTCAGGGGGCCCGCCTTCACTTAGGGTAGGCACGCGCCTGCTGCAGGCCCCTATGCCGAGGCATATACCCTCGCACAACTCGACCGTACCATAAAATTACTGGGCATTTCTTTACACGTGGTTTTCACCACATTTGGTCCATGCCATTTTTATTTTGCCAAACCAAATTTGTATCAGCTGATTAGGAGTCGAATGTGTAACGGTGTCCTCGTACGCATAAACCACGATTCTAAATGCGGTGCCTCCATTGTGAAGCATGGAAATGGCTCATCCAAAGGCGCTTAGTTTCAAGAATCCCAGCAACGTCCAGGCGGGGAACAAACTTCAAGAAGAGGGGAGAGAGGTAACTACCGCAGTAGGGGGGGTTGCTGCAACTGCACATTTATGTTCTTACATATCTGTGTTTCTATCCTCTTGACCAGGGCACCAGATCTGTATTTATTGAGTCTATTTAGTCGATGTATAGACCATCATTATGTCCGATTTTTGTTCGCTGTGCTGGAACAGAATTCTTATTGGTGGTTGTGCATCCCAGTCGCCTTGCACGTGAGGAGGGAAGTCCAATAATGTTGTGTATCAGGCCTGTGCCCAATGTGTCCTCCTTTCCGCTTGTCCACCCCTCTGTGGCTGCGCCGAAAATTATGCACTGACAAGTCTATTTTTTGAACCTCCAGTAATTGCAAGTCCTAGGTTCCTAGTTGCCTGATGGAGGCCTTGCTACCCCTCAGAGCCGATTTTGACTATGCCTTGACAAATTTAGTTGGCAAGAATGGTATGCTAGGGGAGGTAGTGTTTTTGCAAGAAAGCATGGCAGAGTATCGTTTTTTCTTTTTTTTCAAACTTTATTACACTTTAAATCATCACTATTACGGAGCCTCTTTTGTCCGATGTGTGATTTTGCCCACCCCTGGACTGCAGAATTGTTGTGGGGGGCCGGCCTGGCAGGTGGACCGTATGCCTCACATTTGTCTGCATGGCAAAATGTTTTGTTTTTTAGTTTAGAAAAGTACTCTTCCCTTATACAGCAGCAGGTCCATGTTTGATCTTTTCAGATCTTGTACTTGTGATTGAAGGAGATGAGGTCGAAAATTTGCCAAATTTGGGAAACTCGTATTTTTTGCCTCTTCCCTGGGACTGCTGACATCCAGTCAGCCAAGGCTATCGGTAAAGATTTTTCAAATTGGCGGGGTGCAATTTTCACTTCTGTGAAAGCGCCTTATCAACTTCGCAGAGTCTGAAGTCTACTTCACACAAGCTCGCGAACTTGGTGGTACATCCCCGTCATGTTTCCGGCTGACACGACTCATGTTTGCTTGTATTAGGACTTGCTGTAGTACCTTGCTATGAATGGAGTCCGCATGCTGTACATGGGAGCCATTGCATTGTCAGCTGCTGAGCTTGCGCCATAGCACGATTGCCTGTTGAGCTTCCATCATAGTGTCATTGCCTGCTTGCTGGAGTGCTGTGCGTGCCATCGCTCACATGATTCTGCTACAGACGCATCGCCTACTGCACTTTACGCTCCCTGAGCACCAACATGCAGCTGAGGTGTTGGGAATAAGGGTGAGGTGTATTGGGGCGTCTGTTCATGTAGTAGTGGGCTACCTTATTTTGTATTTTCATTTCCAAGCAGGGAACTTGTTCCAACAAGTAAGAGAAGTGTGAGTTGTGCAGTGAAGTTTATTTATGCTATTCCTGGTATTGTCTATTTTTGGATGAAATTGCAATAAATTGTTTGTCAACTTGGATTTATTTAAGTGAACGTGAGGAACGTACATCACAGAAAAAAGATTGGTTTTCCTCGAAATTCGGAAATTCATGCAGTGAACTTGGTAAGTTGTATTTGTGAAAACAGTTTTGTAATGTGTGAAGTTGCTGGATCGATGGAGTATAATTCAAGTCCCCGATGGAGTGTCAGACGCCGGAGGAGGAAAATGGAAGGATACCCCACAGTTGCAGTGGGTCCTCGCCCTCTGTCTCTGTGAGTTACTCCATGCCAGCGTTCGTACACGAACATTGTTCTAGCGGGTCTGTACCAGCTGGTCCTGCATGGACTCAGTTGTTTCTGTACCGACTGGTCCAGCATGGATTCAGTTTTTTCTATACCAGCTGGCCCAGCATGGATCGAGTTGTTTCTGTACCAGCTGGTCCATCATGGTTCCAGGCTTCCAGCCCATCCTTGTGATATCTTCTGGGCGCTTGTGAAGCTCCTTCGAGGACCTAATGACCTGCTTGAGCTGTGTGGGTTCTGGTGTTTGAGTACCATTTCCGAGACCCTTGGAAACTAGCCATTTGCATGTGGTGTGAACTTGTCCTTGTTTCATGCGTCTATCATATCTTAATCAGGCACTTTGCGGGAAGGAAAAAAAGATGCCTGTGGTATTGATTTGTCTGCTTCCATAATCACATTATCACAGTGTAAAATTCCTCACACTCATGTTCCCCCGGTCGATTTGGCTGAAACAGGTCAGGTGATTCAACGGCCAGGATATGGACGATACCAGAAGGGCCATTAGGTACTGGAGGATCAACTGCTCCTAAGCCATTGGTTCTGAAGCACTTCAAAGGGAAAACAAACGAGAAGAGCAAGGATGTGACCACGTTGGACTGGAATGTGAGTCTACCACACACCTTGTCACTGGGCAAATGTTTCAAACCTGTGGTTGCCAAGACCCCAGTCGATGAGACCAGTCAAGATCCTAGTCGATGAGACCACTGTGCATAATCGGTCCTGCTAGAACTCTTTGAATTTCTATCCATCAGCTGAGGTCTTGAACCCCATCTCTGTCAAGTTGAAGATGTAAAGGAAAATTTTGCTATGGACTATTTATAGTCTATTTCCTTTTGGGAAATTGCCGTGCGCACATGTGCAGAGTCACTCTACAAGGTTAACATGAAATTTCTGGCGGTTCTAGTGCGCCAGGTACCAGTGGTGCTACGTGCGTGGTAAGAAAACATGAACTCGGTGGTTTTCTGGACCAGGATCATGCCTTCTAGCCAGGAACATAGGGCCCTGTCCGTAGTGATGTCACATTCTACATTTCAGCACACGATAGTCAGGCTTTCTTACGAGTAAGTGAAGCTCGTTGCGCCTACTTGGTAACTGGTAAGACTTTGGGCCGCATTACACCACTCACCAAATGCACAAATTGAGTTTGAATCTTCCACTAGAACATGGAAAGATACATTACCATAATTCTTGTCTTTTGTGCATGTGGTGAGTGGTGGAGCGAGGCCCCTTTGTTGCCTAGGTTCATATTCAAATTCTATTTGCCAGCGTAAGGTGCTGTGCACCTCCTTGTAGCTGGCACAGACTAAGTGGCACCTGCTTCAAACAGGCCGGTCCGCCCCTGTGCTCCTCGCTCATTGGAAAGGACCTGGTAGTGTGCATGTGTGTGTGTGTGTGTGTGTGTGTGTGTG